TCTTTTGCAAGATTGAATCAGAATATTAGCTAGTGTACAAACTCCTCGAGCCTCTTGTTGAAGATGCACCTATGGTCCAACTTTTTACCACCAATTAGGGGTGCAACTGAGTCAAGCTGACTCGCGAGATAGCTCGAGCTCGACTCAGTAATAGGCGACGAGCCAAGTTTATTGAGCTCGCAAGTTAAGAACAAACATGAATTTGAGCTCGACAGCTTATTGAGCTCGAATTGCCCTTCACTCAGCCTGCAAACTCGTATAGCAGCTCGCGATGGATGTTGTCCAGCGAGAAAGAGAAATCGCATACATTGGCGAAGACAACGTGAATGTTGGCGAGTGTCGAAGACGGGCAGATGCTAGCGAAGACGAATACAACGACGACTAACGCTAGCAACGGACATAGGTGAGCGGCGACAGACGAATGGACGTGCCCTGGCGAAGACGACACAAACGAACTAGCGCTGGCGAGTTGCGACTGACGTTGGCAGCAGATGGGCAGCTTGAACTACCGCTTGTCGAGCTCTTTTTTCCCCAGTAAAGTTCAGCTCGAGCTTGAGCTTGGTATTTGGCAGTGCAGCTCAACTCGAACACCTCTTGACTCTAACAAGACTCAACTCGTTTGCACGCATACCACCAACACAAACCTTACATTCTCTCTTCTAATTTTTCTTTCACCAATCGGAGTTCAGGTGCTCCCGGAATTAATTTTTGAAGTTTCCAATTAGCTTTTGCCTCGAGATTCGTGCCCGATCAAGCTAATTTTGTGATGCTGTATCAATAACCACTATAGTTTGCTTAATCAGTTCATATTAAACTTAATTTTTAATTAGCACACTAACTAAATTTAATCATTAATTAACACTAAGTTTTCTTATGAAGTTTCTTTTGCAGGATTGAATCAATATATTAGCTAGTGTACAAACTCCTCAAGGCTCTTGTTGAAGATGGACCAATGGTCTAGCTTTTTTCCACCAACTAGGGGTGCAACTGAGTCAAGCCGACTCGCGAGATGGTTCGAGCTTGACTTATTAATAGGCGATGAGCCAAGTTTATTGAGCTCGCAAGTTGAGCACAAACATGATTTTGAGTTCGACAGCTTATCGAGCTCGAACTGCCCTTCACCCGGCCCACGAGCTCGTATAGCATCTCGTGATGGATGTTGTCCAGCGAGAAAGAGAAATCGCATACACTGGCGAAGACGAAGTGAATCTTGGCGATTGTCGAGGACGGGCAGATGCTAGCGAAGTCGAAGACAACGATGACTAACGCTGGTGACGGACACAGGTGAGTGGCGACAGACGAATGGAGGTACCCTGGCGAAGACAATGCAAACGAACTAGCGCTGGCGAGTTGCGACTGATGTTGGCAGCGGATGGGCAGCTTGAACTACCACTCGAGCTTGGTATTTGGCAGTCGAGCTCGACTCGAACACCTCTTGACTCTAACTCGACTCAACTCGTTTGCACCCATACCACCAACACAAACCTTACATTCTCTCTTCTAATTTTTCTTTCACCATGCGTATGGCAACACAACAATTAGGGCATCAATAATGGCTCATATATCTAACTCTTTTAAAGTATTTGATTAGGATTTATGATCTTCAAAGAAATAATTTGCTTATTCTTTCACTGGGCCCAGACCCGTACACTAATTGCTTAATTTTAGGAATTATGTTTTGTTATCATTTGATTGGATTAGTGGATATAAATAGACATCAATATCGATTTCAAATTTAATAAACCCTATTCAGTGACTTGATTTCGACCCCAAATATCTAACATATGCAATTTGTTTAGATTTAAAATTTATTATTCATTTGAGATAATTTTTTCAGTTTCGCTTTATTTGGGGTGGTTTTCATAATTACGGGTTTCTAAAGTAGTTTTTTTAGTAAAAAGACATCGTTTGTGAAGGCTTTCTTACTGCTTCTTAAAAAAAATTTTTAATAAACAAAATTAAATTTTTTGTGCTAGAAAGCTGCTTTAAGAAGCAGTAAGAAAGCCGTCTTAAACAAAGCCAAAAATTAAAATTTTATATTAGAAACTGCTTTAAGAAATAGTTAAAAAATTGTCCCGAATGAAGCCTTACATTTAGATACATGTTTCTTATTACTGTATAGAAATTTATGTGATGACTATTAGCTAGGTTTGATAATCAGATTTGTTAAAGCTTGGCAGTTATAAGAAAATTATTCTCCAATTTTATTAATGGAAAAATATACTAAATTAAAAAAAATCCTAAAATAATTCTATAATTATTTTTGTCAATAGCTATAGTCATCTCAATAGGGCCTTTTAATTAAAGATGTCATCATATAAAATGTATCAAAATATTATTATAAATGTGGAAGTTTTATTTTTTTTTTTATTATGTGCTAGAAAAAGTGATGGTTATAGTATTACGCAAAAATTCACACACAAACAAAAAGTTCATAAGAGACGCCAAACTTTTTATCTTAAATGAAATAATCGACTATGTACGTAAATAAAGATAAAAAAATTGGTTTTTCCTATCAATTGTAGAAGATGTGATTAGAAATTATAGAATATAAGCATAGCTTCATATAGTTGAAGTAGAGAATATTAGAGAAGCAGTGAAGACTAATAATCGCAGACAAGCTACAGATGATATTCAGTATAAGGAAATGTCATCGGCAAATAGTGTTGCTGGTGCATAATTGTCACATGATGATAGTCAACGGTATATAATCAAATGAAGGAAAACGTGCTACGATGATTAGACTATATCAATCAAATGATTATTGTTTGACAACGATGGCAGCATAACTAATCCTTCGGCAGAACCTAACAAAATCACCCACTAACATCAGTCCCACACCTGTTTTGTCTCACTGAAAAGGCTAGGCCGAAGTAAAGGGGATTCGAATCCGGGATGGGGGTTCCCAACCGTGCACGCCCATGTACAGAACAGAGGACCTATATATATCCAAGTGAAACAAGAAGGCAAGAAATAAAGAGGTACAGGTGTACAAAAATAACAGGTAGCCAGTTTATTGCTGTCCTTTCTTGGTTTTGGAAGCTTCCAGATTTTTGGTCGTTAATACTTATAAGAGCTCAAATTAGAATCTGTTTGGGACAACCTTCTCACTACTTTATCTTTTTCAGATCGTAATCACAATTTCTATTTGAATACAATTTTTTTTCGATATTTCAACAAAATTTTATGTTATAAAGCTACTTTTTATAGTATCTCCTAAAAAAATATTTTTCTTCATAATAATTTCACAATTAATTTTATAACCAAATCTCTTTTTAAATGTATTAATGATCACATGGGATCAAATTTCTTATATAAATCAGAGCTAAAATACAACTCATAAGAAAAAGCAAAGTTGCATTATCTTCACAAAAACAGTTATAAAAACATTGAAGTTTTGCTGACCGAATCATTTCATATGGGGATTGTGAGAACTCTCATCATTCTTATTAACTTATTCATATCACACACTGCAGAGTCGGACAATTCGAATCGAACATTCAATATTATTTTATATTCCCAAGTATTAGAAATGGACCTTCCAGCATCCAGTCGGGCGCCACGTGGCGCAAGGTAATTACTGTTTTGACACAAGTGGGGTGCAACAGTTGCTCGTGGGAGGTCTCGAGGGAGGGGCAGACGGGGTCGGTAGTTCTCTGTGTTTGCCCCTTGTTTTTCTCTCTCTGGTTGGTTTTTTCTCTTTTTTCTCGCTGATTCGTTCGAGTTTTTTGTTTGTCGTGGGTGTGCTGGGCTATGATGTGGCTGGGGCTCACTTCGTTGTCATGGCTCATGGTAACATTTGGTGTTGATTCCTTGTTTGGTTGCCTTGGGTGGTCGATTGGATTATTTTCTTCGCGGCTATCTTCACCAAATTGGAGGGTGTGCGTAACTTCGGGGAAGCTGGGAATCTCGACCAATTACTGAGCCTTCATATTGTGTTCTTTTTGTATTTCTTCTATTTTTTTCATTAGCTTCATGGTCTCTTGTATTTCTTTTTTTTGGTTTAATAGATTTTTAGTTTTGAAAAAAAAAGTGGGGTGCAACAGTTATCTCTAATTTTAAATTAGATGATTTGGAAATTGTTTTGGTGCATTTTAGTATTTCACATTTAATTAATTTAAATTTGATTAATATTTTTACGGTGATATTATTGAATTCAGAATTGTTTGTTAAGCACATCTAACTATATTAAGAATAATATAACAACAATAACAACAAATCTTTATCCCACTATATGGGGGCAGGCCGGCGGCTACATGAATCCGTTTTCTCCATTGTGTCATCTTAAGAGTCAAAATCTTATCTAAATTTAAAAAAAAAATGTCATTTTTAATATTTTCTAATCAAGTCTTTTTATGTCTACATCTATCTTTCTTAACATAAGTCGAATCTAATACATATACTTTCCTAAACGGGTCATCGGAAGGCCGTTGTTTTATGTGACCAAATCATCTGAGGCGACTCTCTCTAATCTTATCTTCCAGTGGAGCTACTTCAACCTTTTTCACGTATATTTTCATTTCAATCAAACTATATTGAGAATATTAAATAAAAAAAAAAGAACAACAAGAAATTGAATTGACCAAATTAGCTGAATATGAACTGAGTCGATAGGTTTCATTTAGAACAATTTTTTCCTGCTTTTTAAAGCAACTTTGAAAATATGAAAATTTTGTGAAAGCATAAAAAAAAAATAGTGACAAAAAATAAAAACGAAGCCTTCGTTTAAACCTAATTTTTAAGATATTTGAATTTTTACAATATAGATATATAATTTTAATATATTTTATAAATATAAATGAGCTAAATATAAGCTAATTTTAACTCAACGGGCCAAGCCAAAGAACTGTTAACACATTTACAGAGCTATCACGTGACAACTCACACGCCAGTACGTGCAAACCGGACTCCAAATCAAAATCAAATCCTCAAAAACTCTCTCTCTCTCTCTCTAAAAGGACTCGTTTTCATTGCTGACTGCTGAGCTCTGACTAGTACTGCTCTGCTTCCATTTACTGTTCCTGCTCCTCACGATAAGAAACGCCTTTTCTTTATAGTTTATGTTTCCCCTGCTTTCTTCCCCGTCGAAGAGGTAAAAGAGGATCGCGATATAGAAAGCAAGATACAGAGAGAGAGAGAGAGAGAGAGAGAGCTCATTCACTCGTGCTCTGGTTCTCCTTTCAATGGAATCCTTCGGCCTTCTTAGATACTGGAGAGGTGGAACTGGCGGGTCTTCGTCGGCAGCCAACATGCCAGCCGCAGAGGCAATGACATTGCTGGAGTCGGGGGTGGACGGCGAAGAGACCGATGACGAGGGGCCCTTCTTCGACCTTGAGTTTGTCGACCCCGAAGACCGAAGCGCTGAGGAGAGAGGCGGAGATCATGAGGATGAACAGTTGGAAGACGGGGAAGACGAGAAAGATTTCGACTTTGGCTTGAATTCGTCAGATGGAAGCGACACACGGTCCATTTCCACCTCCGACGACATCTTCTTTAAAGGAAAGCTCGTACCGCTGGAATCGAGCTCCATCGTAATCGCCGCCGGGGATAGCGATCAGAAGACTCAGCTCGCCGTTTCGCTCCTGAAATCAGCAACGAAGTTCCGAGTCTTCATATTGGGACTTCGAAAGTCTAAATCCGCAACGGTGGAGTCCAATGCCGCCAGCGTGTCGCCAAAGCAGAGCCAGCTGCCGAGCAAGTTCTTCTTCATCAAGTTTAAGGTGGAGGAGGTGCCGATCGTCTCCCTCTTCACTCGCGACAGCAGCTCACGAAATCAGGCTGGTGTTGCCAAAACCATGGAGAAAATCTCGGACATAGACGCCGGAGAGGACACCGCCGTTGCGCCGGCGCCGTCGGAGGAAAAGACGAAGTCGAGTAATTCTAAGGAAGTGATGCAGAAATACCTCAGCAAGATCAAGCCTTTATATGTTAAAGTCTCCAAGAGGTATGCCGATAAGCTCAGGTTCTCCGGGCCTTTGGTTCACGGCGGACTTCCGGCTACTGAGCTTATCTCCGAAGAAGAAAAGGAAGCCGAAGAAGAGGAGCCTGCGGAGTCCAAAGTGGCTGAAAAGAACCCAAAGCTAGCAATGCCGGCGAAGTTGAGGGTGGTGTATGAGCGGCTGGGGAAGAGCAGGTCGGCAGTGGCCGCAGTGTCATCGCCACCGCCAAAGCGGCGCGATGACTCTCTTCTCCAGCAACAAGACGGGATCCAGAGCGCCATTGCCCACTGCAAGCGATCCTTCACCGCTACTTCCAAAGGTGCAAAAACAAAATATTAAAAGCCTCTTCCTTCTGCATTTTTTTTCCTTCCATTGTAAGCTTAATCTCTTACTAGTTGATCCTCCCTCCCGTTTTCCAGAAACAGAATCGCCATCGCAGCCTTCGAAGAGCAATCCAGAAGCTGAACGCATATAATTGCTGGGAAACAAGACGAATCCTTTTCATCTTTCTTTTCACCTTCACCTGCGCAACCTGATGAAGAAAAAGTGGTAGAGATGCCAAAAAGTTTTCATTAGCCGCTACTCCTACCTATATTTTCTTATTTCCTTCCATTTTGCGTTTCTCCTTAGCCATGTAACTGAAAAAAAGGCAAATATTTTTATTTATGAGCCTATGAGTAGTACGGCGCCGCTTGAGAACTCCATCAACTTGAGCGAGAAGAAGACAAGGCCTTGATTCGGTAATATTGTGAAAAAGCCACTTTTGTGTAGTTTGAACTTTATTAAATTTGCGTATTAGACGGTTTTCTGCAATTTTACGAATTGCATCGGCTTAAAGGTTTGAAATTGATGACTGCGACCGCGGCGGAATTGCGCCGGACTCTCGCCGGTGGCTGTCGGCCCGGCTTGCTGCCGCCTCTCTGAAGACAGCGATATGTTCTGATAGGAAAAAAAGTAAAAGTGGAAAAACAGGGCGTGTAATTTTTGAAAAGATTGAGGTTAAAAATAGAAAAGGGGTGGAAGCCTTCTGTCCTTTCGCGCCACTTACACGCGGGCCTTCTATTTGCGCGCTTTCCCTTCGTTTTACTTTCAAAAAACAGTGAATTTAAATTTGCTACAAGAGTTGCAGCACATTGGTTAAGTGCAAAAATTAGATTTTCTTTCTAAAAAACATAAAGATTTTGGATTTTTCTATTATTTTCCTTCGAACACTTAGGCTTCATTGGAGACAATTTTTTATTCAATTTTTTGATATAAGATTTGTTGCAGGCTCGAATATATGCGACGATTGAGTTGTAATTTTAAGTCTGAGCATTGCATGGATATCTAGCTTACACAGATAACACAGGATTTTTTATGTGGAAAACCTTAGAAATGTGAAAAATCATGGAGCTTAGCCCAGTTGAAAAGATTTTACTAGAATTTGAGTTGAATACAATGGGCTAACTCGTCCTTGAGGGTGATCAGATTACAAATGTCAATCGTATGGTTATAATCTAGTGTTAAATTTGGCGTCACTTTGAAGTTGGGGCGTCAGTTAGTAATCTGACAGTGACTTGGTAGAATTCAGGCGTCAGTTGATAGTCTGACGGAGTTTAGGGCATCAAGTATTGGTATGGTGGAGTTAAGACCCTTAGGTGGTGGTCCAACAAAGGTGAGGGCCTTAGGCGGTGGTCTGATGAAGACGAGGGCCTCAGGTGGTGGTCTGGCGAAGGCGAGGGCCTTAGGTGGTGGTCCGGCGAAGGTGAGGGCTTCAGGTGGTGGTTTGGCAAAAGCGAGGGCCTCAGGTGGTGGCCCGACAAAGGCGAGGGCCTCACGTGATGGTCCAGCGAGCGAATGTGAGGGTCTCAAGTGGTGGTCCGGTGAGGGCGAGGGCCTCAGGTGGTGGTTCGGCGAAGGCAAGGGCCTCAAGTGGTGGTCCGACGAAGGTGAGGGTCTCAAGTGATGGTCCGGCGAGGGTGAGGGCCTCAGGTGGTGGTCCGGCGAAGGAGAGGGCCTCAAGTGGTGGTCCGGCGAAGTTGAGAGCCTCAAGTGGTGGTCCGACGAAACTCCGGTGGTGGTTCGGCAAAATTCTGACGATGGTCGAGGAGTTTCTTTCTTCTCTTTTTCCTCTTCTCTTCTTGGTTGCATCCCTTTTCAAAAGAAATGAGGGGTCTATTTATAGATTTCTGGAGTGGCATGACCCGTAAATATGTGAGAGATCAAGGGTAAATGGCGAGTGGTTGGATGGACGGTCGATGTTGATTCCCTTGATCATGGACCGTTTGATGGACATTTGAATTCTTTAGTGATGTCAGATTTTTGTGATCTTGGGCTCGTTAGATTCGTCTCATCGAGCCGCTCGATTCGACAATAAGCATGTTATGTTTGGAAACCATTTAGTAATCCAAATTGTGGTTCGAACCTTCCAACAACGCTTCTAACCCTTGATTTGGACACATTTGGGCTCGAATTGGGTTGGATTTGGTGTCGTTGGGTTCGTATTCTTGGGATTTTTATTTGGTCCGGTGCAAGGACCTAGAGGAAGGTTCGGTTTTGCCTAAAAAAGTGCAAATACTAAGTTTTTTGAAAAAATACCGAGTTTTTTGAAAAACTCGGTATTTGCACTTTTTGACCTATTTTTGCTTAAAACTGAACCTTCCTCTGCATCCAGTGAAAGGACCTAATAATTGCTCCTACCTGAGAGCCAACGGGGCTGAATTTTAATATTTTTCATGTAAAGGAATTCCTATATGAATAGTGGCAAAAGTAGATCTTCTGAGAGTTGACATCACCTAAGCTTTATATATATATATATATATATAACAAAATTAAATAAGTACATGCGATGAAAAAACATGTTGGTGGTCATTTGACATATATTAATATAAAAACTTAATATTTATTTAAAATTAATTTTTATATAATTTAAATTAATTTATTAAGTTAAATATTTTATAATGAATTTATTAAATTAATTAATTCATTATATACAAGCCAATTTTTGAAATTAAATTTTTTATATCAAATAAATCAACCGATTTTTTGAAAATCGGTATTGATTAACTTATCGAATTGTCAGTTTGGCACGTTAAAACTAATTTACTGCAAAAGTGGTTTTGGAAGTTTATTGGACTAGCTAGCTAACCGATTCACGATTCAACTGATTAACCGGCTAGTCGGGTCCAGTTTTTAAAATATTGAAGCTTTCCATTTAATCAAAAATAATTTGACGATTGATGAAAGGGTTAAACACATATCTAATTAATTATTCGAACACGATTGAATAAGGTGTTTAAAATATATTATTTAATAATAAAAAAATAATATCCTCATCAGCTCTTTATATTCTTCTACCTAAGCATCCTTAGTGGTCTACTCTCAAGTAAATTAGCACTTATTTTCCCCATATTTAGATTGGCTTCATATGCCCAACACTACAATAATACTACATATCTAGTTATAGTGTATTAGGTTTGTTATTCTTCCTCGTTATATATGTCGTATAGTTCACCATGTTTATCTTCAGCTCTCATAGTATCCTCTCTCATAACATTTTACTCCGATGGTGTAACATTCATCATCAAATCCAACTGATTGTCTATAACTAATCCCCAACTTTAAGTTAACTTATTGGTACTTATGAGTCTTAGAATATTTAATGGGGTAGAAAATAATTAGGGTTTGAGATTAAAAAGGTGAAAAATCCAAGTTGGATTTTGTTTTATGGTCAATGCAGCGCAAGGGGAGGTGATGCCTTGGGTCGATTTCTCAACAAAATTTGGCAAATAAACAGGTTTGGGCGAATGCCGGGAAGCGTCGCGGTGGTGCTTGTCTCACGTAAGCATATTTTGAGGGCATCTAGATGATTCTCTATAGCACAATAGTGCTGAGGCAGTCAGGCGCTGTGGCACTAGTTCAAAATGGTGGAAATGTAATATTAAAATATCTTATGGGGGCATCTAGAAAAGGAAAACAAAAAGAGAAAAGAAAGATGAGCAGTGGGAGGAGTTTTGGAGGCCAAATCTCAGGAATTGATCGTCGAGCTAGTTAGGGACATTTTAGAGCTATAAATAGGCTTCAGAATACCTATTTTTTATTTTAACTTTCCTTTTTTATGATAAGTTATAGATTAAATTGTGTTTTTATTGGATTTAATAAAATTTTCACAACGTAACTTTTATATGGCGTCATATGCTCTATTTTGAACATTTTGAGTTGGATTTTTTGAAGTAATTTTTTGAGTATATTATTGAACTAAGGCTTCCCTGAAAAATAGAGTAGTTATGTAAAAATCTTGAAATGTCCACATGAATGAGCCTTTGAAGTTAAATTTTGGAAAAAAGAAAAAAAAAAACTCAGTGGGTATTCTATTTTATAAGTAGTGAGGCTTTTAATAGTAAGTCATGCACTTTATGAATGTTGCGTTGAGTATAATTGCACTGCATCTACATCCTACATTCATGGCATCAAAGATATTATGTTCTAAAATGTGAAAAAATACACTCTATAGTATGTTACAAAGGCCCTAAATGTACTCTTCTGACCCCATATGTCTAATACAAATGTGAGAAGGATTCTAGCCTCAGTTGTTAAAAACATATCTGTGAGGTTAAGTAATAATGTAAATGTATTCTACTGGCCCCATTTGTTTGATGCAGATGTGGGAGAGATTTTGGCCCCACTTGTTATATGTGGGTGCGGGAGGCAAAGAGAGGCATAAGTGAAAGTGGAGTTAAAAGTGAACATCGGGGTATGTGCATGACAGTCATTATATTGCATTTATGTTAATGAATTAAGTACAAATAATTGTCTGAAATAAATGTTTGAAAGTTTGAAACTCTGCATGAATTGATATATCTAAGTCAAGTGCAAGTGAACTTTTGAGGCCATATATTATGCAAAGCATATAGAAATACCTGCGCAAGTGGTTTGTAATTAAGTGAAAATGTTCAGCGTATTCTAGAAGTATCTTACTCGTTTACTATTTCCCTATTGCTTTAATGTTTATTTATTTCATTCCTATTATATTACAATTTCAATTAAAATTTTAATATTAATACCTGAATGGGTCAAGATAAGAAGTCTACTGAGATAGTCATGTTCGTCCCATTCTTTTAATATTTTGTGGAAAAGTAAAGTTCCTACTGAGCAGATCGAGTATAGAAGCGAGCTTTTGGGTCCTAACAATATAAGTAATGCTTATTTTGTAATCCAACATTAAAATTGTGATTTTCCTTTTATCGAGTAAAATGTTAGTTGCTCTGCTTGTTATTATTGATTTGGTTGAGTTAGATAAGAATAAGTTAACTGAAACCAATCCTTCCATTAAATATTATTGCGTTATATAATGAGTCTGTCTATGATTCACAATTTTATTACACTCCACACCCGTTGATGTCCCTCATGATTGTCTTGTTGCACCCTACACCAACTTAAGTCACTCACATGATTAACATTGCAAACCCATCAATATCACTCTCGATTGCTTCATCAATCATCATTGTAAGCCACCTTATCATGTCCTGGCCAAAAATAAATAGTCCATGAAGTTAAAAAAAATTTGATTCATTTCACTATCATCCTTGCATGCAAAAATAAAATTCCTAAATCTATATTACAACTAATGGTCACAAAGTATTTCAAATACAATGAATTTACTTTACTTAAAATATACCTAAATTTTAAATACATTCAACCAAACAACCACTTAAAACTTTTTTAAAGGAATTATTCTTAAATAGGCTTACATATTGAACTTGTTCATCTCAATCCCATGCATATTTTTTTGGTCAAGCGTCCTTAATCTAATATATTTTTATTGGGTATTATTT